TTAGCTGTTGAATACTAGCGTTTTGGCCAAGAGTAGTTGGAGTTGGAGTAGTTCTATCAGCTCAGAGAGGCTCTGTGTTGTGGTCTGATATAGCTATATGGGAATGGAGATTTGGAGGTGTTAGTTTAAGACTGCTTTCATATTGTGTCTACCCGTGTTTCCTAGGAGGAACACGGAGTGTTTAGTTGCGTGACCATGAATGTGTTTTCTGTATTGGCATATCTGCTGGGTATCCATTATGTGTTTCTACTACGTCTTGTCCATCTCAGAGTTAACTCTATTTTTAAAGTATATTGCATTGTTTGTGTCAAAGTAAGATTCATCTAGTATGCCTCATTGATTATGGGGTAATAAATAAAATGGTATTTTTAATAGAGATTAGACAATTTCTGAAATTCATAAGTGTGGTAATCCTAATCTACTAAACTACTGTGTTATATTTGTATGGGTAAATTGAAAGCATTTTGCAGATCCAGAAGAGGATTAATAAATAATATAATAATCTCACTAGGTGCCAAATTATGCAAAGAGGCTATCCAAAGTACGCACTAACGGGTTAAACTTATTTTCTTGATAAGCGTATAACATTTAGTTTTGTGGTTAGACTTTTGATACTCAATTTGAAAATATGTTCCAACTACATCCTTGCATGGCCCCAGGTACAGGAAGCAATATGCGTTTTAAAAATTTGCAAAGTCTTAGTGTTTTTTGTTTTTTTTTACATTCTTTATTTTGTAATTTTGACATTTAAACAGGAATAGTAACTAGTAGTGATACATTAATGTTGCAAGTTCATAGTTTACAATGAAATAAACAGTGACCCCCAAGGCCATAGCCCATCTGACCTATGATTCGTTCGGTTAGTCTTGTACGGGTTTTTAGGTTTGCTTCAGCTGTTCATCCTGCCTGGATCTAAGCCCCAGGGTCTATCTGACAGCTATATACCCTTTTAGTTTGACCTGACCCGGTGTTTCGACTTCTTTATTCACCCCAATGCTGGTAATCTTTATAATTAGTGTAATGCTCGGGTGGTAATAGGGCGGGTGTCAGTGATCTAGCTTACTTGGGTCGTGTCTGGGGTAGGCGCGGGCCTTGGTCCCATCCGCTTTTGGGCGTGGCACCGAGCTTGTCCCCTCGCTCTCTCCACCTTAGCCCTTTCGTTATGGTTCAGGCGGATGTGTTGTTATCTAATCGATGGGGGAGCGGGGGATTTGGCATGGAGTATATCTCCGGTGCCCCCATCTCCGTTTGGTGGGCTGTGGTGGTGCCCCACCTCGGAGGTTGTATGTGTCTCCATCCTTTTCTTCTTGTAGGCCAGCGTGGGGTCACCCCAGTCCACATCTATAGTCGCCCTTCTCTATGTCATCTGCGTTCCTACTCCGTCAGGGCCTGGTATGTATAGTCACGTCTTATGTTCGTTTATGTGTGTGCCTGGTTGCTTGCATCTTGTTGGCTCATGTCTTGGCGCATGTTTCTACCCTTTGCGTCTGGGGGGTGTCCTTAGGCCATTGTCTCAGGGCATAATGGCTGTGGGGTCAGTGTGTCTAAGTCCGGGCCTCCATATTTGGCTGTCTGTCCGCTTACGTGGGTGAGTGTTTAGGTCGGTGTCCGTATGTTCCGTCAGTCGGCGTACAGCCGATAATGGGGGGGTATGGGGAAGAGGGAGGTTAGCAGGGGGATATAAGGGGGGGGTCCTGCGCTGCCGCCGCCTGGCACCCCGCTGTTCCTACTCTGCCTCCTGTCCGAGCCCCGGCCGGGCTCGCCCCGGCCCCCGGCCATGTACATGATCCAGGGCGTCCAGATTCGGGTGCAGCGGTCTTGTGTTCCTTGTATTTCGGCCATCAGGGATTCCAGGGCAAAGATCTCTTCGACCCTTGCCGTCCATTGTGGCACGGTTGGGATGTCTTTCGATTTCCATCGAGCGAGAATTAAGCTTTTAGCGGCATTAAGTAGGTGTCTCGTCAGGGATTTCTTGTAGCTCGCTAGTGGTGTCCGCGTGTGATTGAGGAGCATGGGGAGTGGTTCAAGGGGCATATCCAAATCCAGTATTTCAATGAGTTTGTTGTGGATCTGTCTCCAGAAGGGCGCTATCAGCGGGCACGACCACCAGATGTGAAGGTCCGTCCCCTCGGTTCCGCAGTACCAGCACATGTTGGTTGTCGTGATCCCCATGACGTACAGTCTGGTTGGGGTTCTGTACCATCCGGTCAGGAGCCTATAGTTAAGCTCTTGTGCTATAGAGCTAAGTATCCCCTGATAGGCGAGGACGTGGATCTTCTCCCATTGTTGTTCCGTGAGGTTATTTCCCGTGGCTTGTTCCCATCTGGAGTGGAAGGGGGCCGGGGGCTCCTGTTCGGTTGCTTGCAGCAGGGCGGATAGAGCTGAGATCCTGCGGTGTAGGTGTTCACTGTTCTCGCAGAGCTTCTCAAAGTGTGTGAGGTCCCTCTGTAGTAGTTGTTTCCTCTGTAAGTTAGTATAGTATCGTTGCACTTGATGGTACCGGTATCTAAGGATGCCCGTCACCTGGGGTTGGGATAGCATGTCCTCAAGCGGCTGCAGTTTGTTGTTGGCACACCACGCACGGCCTCTCTCCCACCCAGGCCGTCAATGTCTCTTAGCGTCAGGCCCCTTGCGATCTCGGGGTTATGTGTGACCGGGCTTAGAAGGGCCTGGTTTGTCGTCAGCCTCAGCTTATATCTAATCTTTGCCCAGATCCCCATCGTCGCCCCTATGAAAGGGTGATTTTTTTTAGGTCCCGGTCTTGTGTCGAATTCGAGTCCACAACAGCAGGGGTTATTTGGCCGTCTGCTTGCGAGGGTTCCATGTGGACCCATTGTTTTTCCGTCGTGGGGACGTGCCAATCTACGATCCTCAGGAGGTGGGTGGCTTGGTAATACGTCCGCATGGATGGTAATCTCGTCCCTCCTTTGTGTCTCGGGAGAATAAGTTGTGTTTGTTTGATTCTCGGGGGACCAGCTGCCCATACAAACTTCAGTGTTGTGGAGCCCAGTGTATGGAAAAAGGTTGGTGGTATCGTGATCTGGATGGCTTGGAACAAGTATAGAAGGTGTGGCAGTAAGTTCATCTTCACGACGTTGATTCTTCCAAACCATGATATGCACATGCGCCACCACCTCTGGAGGTCCATGCGTAGGGTTTGGAAAATGGGGAGGAAGTTTTCCTGGTAGAGCCGTGTGGGTTCTTTGGTTAGCCAAATTCCTAGATATTTGATACAGTTTGTGCACCATCTGAAGGGTTCAAAAAGTTTGTTTTCAGTCTATCTACTGTCTCTGTGGGAAGGGATAAAGGTAGGGCCTCCGATTTGTCGGTATTGAGTTTTAGATTTGATATAGTCCCATATCTAATGAAGGCTGCCAGGAGATTGGGCATCGAGACCGCTGGGTTTCGTATGAAAAAAAGCAAGTCGTCGGCATACGCAGCCACCTTGTGTTCCCGTCCCTCGTGTGCCAGCCCTTCTATGCCCCCATCCCGTCTGACCGCCTCCAGAAATGGCTCCAGAGTGAGGCCAAACAGGAGTGGGGATAGAGGGCATCCCTGACTTGTCCCGTTTCGTATCTCGAACGCCGGGGTTAGGGCTCCGTTTATTCGTAGTTGCGCTTTCGGAGCAGTGTAAATTGCAGAGATCCACTTAAGGATCTGAGGTCCGAATCCCATTGCCTGTAAAGTGGCCTGTAGGTATTGCCAGTCCACCCGGTCAAACGCCTTTTCAGCGTCGGTTGAGAGAAGCAGTCCTCCTATGTGGGCTGTTTGGAAGAGGTGCATAATGTTGAGTGCCCTGATGGTATTGTCTTTTGCTTCTCTTCCGGGGATAAATCCCGTCTGGTCCGGGTGGTCAGGGATGGGACCAGTCGGCCGATACGTTGTGCCAGGATCTTAGTAAATAGTTTAAGGTCGGCGTTCAGTAGGGAGATTGGCCTATAACTGCGATGGTCGCAAGTGTCCCCAGGAAATCGTCCGTCCTCCAGCAGCAAGTTCAGGCCGTTCAATAGCTCCGGCAATAGGATATCTCCAAAGGTCTTAATGTAGCCGGCCGGGTGAGGGTCCAGGTCACAAACTGGTCTAAGTATTCCTGCGTCTGGTTGCGTTTCCGACTTTGCTCGGTTGTCGTCGCTTCGGTCGGTATGTTGTAGAGCCTGGCATAGAACTCCTTAAATTCTCTGGCAATCTGGTCAGGGATCTGGGTGATGGGACCCCTGCGTGTTTTGATCTTGGTGATTTGGCATCTCTGTCACTTCTGTTGCAACATCTTTGCCAGCAAGCGGCTGCATTTGTTGGAGTATTCATAAAAATATCGATTGGATTTGCAGAGCGTATGCGCCAGCTTTTGCGATAGGAGTTGTTGCAGTATCCTGCGGGTCTCCAATAGTGCTCTGTACGCGACTTCTGAGTGTGTTGTCTTGTGTTCCATCTCTAATCGATTTTCTTATGTAGCTCTATTATTTGCCCGCTCTGGGCCTTCTTCCATGCTGTGCAGGTCTTGATGAAGTGTCCTCTGACTACGCACTTATGGGCTTCCCATCTGGTGAGCTGTGGGGTCTTCAAAGAAGTTCCGTAGGACTGTCCTGGTCTCCTCCAAAGCCACCTGGTCGGTTAGGAGTCACTCATTCAGTTTCCATTGCCTGCCTCCTGACTTATGCAGGGGTGAGGTCAGTAGGGTGAGCATGGGTGCGTGGTCTGACCATGTGGTGGGGAGAATGTCACTGGTTTGTAGGAGGGGGAGATATTCTTGTGATAGGAGAATGTAGTCGAGTCGGCTGTATCCACGGTGAACCGGGGAGTAGTAGGTGAAGTCTCTGCCTTCTGGGTGCAGGACTCGCCAGCTATCCGCAAGGCCTGCATCTCTGAATGCCGCTTGTGTGGCTTTGAGACTTGGTGGGAATAGTGAGCAGTGGCCTTTGGACGTGCCACCCGTGGGTCCATGGGTGTGTTGAGGTCCCCTGCTAGGACTAATAGCCCGTCTCTAAATTGTTCCAGCAGTCTTAGGGTTTTGGAGATGAAGCTATGTTGCTTGGTATTCGGGGCTTATATGGAGTCAAATGTGTATCTGCGATGGTGCCCTTGAGAAACAGGTATCGTCCCAGCGGGTCTGTCTTTTCATCTGTGCAGATAAAGGGTACGTGGCTGGTGAATAGGATGGCTCTCTTGGCTTCCCTGTGGTTTGTGAAATATTCCAGCGGGAACCTCTCATCGCGGAGCGTGGGGCTGGCCAATCCACGGAAATTAGTCTCCTGTAGGAAGGCCACCGAGGCTCTGGCTGCCCATAAGGATCGCAGCAGATGGGAACGCCTCTCCGGGGCGTTCAAGCCCCTGACGTTGTTAGACCAGAGGCGCAGCAGCGCAGGGATGTACCCCCCGGGGCTCCGATTCATAATGCCAGATGGGACGGCCGCGAGCGGGCGGGGGAGGTGGTGGTTGTGGGAAGTGGAGGAGGGGTGAGAGGGTAAGGGTGTGGGGAGGCGAGTCTCTTGGTCAGGTGGGGTTGGTCAGTGAGCGTTGGTTTCAACTCTTGTTGTCTCTGTAAGTATGAAAGGAAAACTTATATACAGTATCAGACTTGACTGTCTAGGGGGGCGAGTCCATGGAGAGCACCCTGTTCTATCAAATAGTCCCCTCGTCTACACCCCTACCTAGGTTCCCACACAGTCCGTTTACAGGTTCGTGCGTGTCCCGAAGCACAGGTCGGGGCGGGGTGCCAGCGTGACAGTGTGTGTAACTCTAGCCGGTTCTTACCGTCGTCTTCCTAACCCCCCAGCCAGTGAGTGTTGTCAATCTGCTAGTTCTTCATGGTCTTAACCGGGTTCCGTTGGCCCTCATCCCCCCGGGGTCCTCAGGCCGTGTGTGACAGGTGTGTGGTCTCAGGTGTGGGGTCTCTGCTTGTGTACTTTGTGGGGACCGTCCTCTCCCCCCGCATCCCACCCGGACACCCCCCCGCCCGCTCGCTGTTCATGTGGTGGCTTATGTCCTCCACCTCCCCTATCTGCTCCCCCCCTGAAGCTATGCTTGGAGAGTGTGTAATAGTGTGTGTATCGTGGCGCATCTGTGATAGGGCTTCTACGTGAGGGTGTATTCACTATGTTGAGGGCTTTATGTTACTGATGAGGGGGTTCGGCGTTTCAGGTGCACCGGAGAGGCCGGGTTGGGGTTGATCTTCCTGGTGTATGGTGCGCTATTCTCGTGTCCTATAATTTAAGGTACCCCTGAGGCTACTTCTGGTTCCCCTTGTCCCCCGTTTTCCCACCGTCCACCCCATTCCCCCAAGCACCCCTCCAAGCTGACCCACAGTAAATCACCCCATTTCACCTGCAGAGTCCTGGGCTCCCGTTTCCCGCCCAAAACCCAGGGTGTTCCCTATCTCTCCCAGTCCCTGCACTAGCCCCGGTGAGAGGAGGAAGAAGTGGGGGGGAGCAGGGGGTCCCCCGCGGGTCGGGCGACCGAGCAGTCTAAGTCCAAGTCCCGGCTATTCCGCAAGCGAGGGCCACTCAAGCTTTTCCTTGAGACTGTAAGCATGAAAGCAGCATGGTACATCCCGGGGTCGGCCATCTGGCCTCAGTGGTCCCAGTGCCCTATGGACCCAGTCAAACTGGATTTCTGGCAGGGAGTCTCGGTCCAGAATCTCTTGGAAAAGGGCTGTGATCGTGTCGGGCAGGGGGTTGCATCCAACTCCGGCAGGCCACGTATGCGGATGTTGTGTCTTCTGCTGCAATTTTCCAGGTCCTTGACCTGGCGCCGGTTGGACAGGAGTAGATTTCCCTGTCAGGTTGTAGCTATTTCCGCCGCCTGGTGTTGTCTGGGCCTCCACCGCTGAGAAATCTGCGCGCAGGGCCGCAATCTCCTCACGGACTGCTGTTCGGAGGTCTTGTATGAGGCTGCTGGTGTCTGTCTTCTAAAGCATTTCCCCTGATATCGTGGCCAGCTCCTGTCGGATCAGCGCCAGGGTGTCCTCCCGGGTGCCATCTGCTGTGGAGCTTCCGCCGCTTTCCAGGTCAAGGGATCCGGGCGCCATATTGTCTGCTGGCCCAGAGCCGCCACAGGTGCCCAGTGTGGACATGAAGTCGTCCATCGTGCCGGTTTGGTGGCGTGGAGAGCCTCCTTGGGGGAGGAGCTTCTTATTGCGGACCATTCCGTCGGGCTTGGTGGCTGCGCTTTTTTTGCTGTTTAATGGCCGGGGGAGAGGAGCTCAGTCTTCACACGTCCTTCTCCATGCCCGGTCTGACCACGCCCCTTAGTGTTTTCAATATATTATAACAATGGAAAAGTACCTAACCGCATGTCTGCATTACGCTCATGACACAGACTGTCAGTATTGCAAGCCCTATATGAAGGCTATGCTTTCATTGTCGATGTATATACCCCTAGACAACATTGCTTTATATACACAATTTAACTAATACATTAAACCTTTAAAAGATTATTAATATTATATCTGTGTGGTACACAAAGAGGGGTACACAAAGAGGGGGTGTGAGTTAGGTAATCCTGACCTGCATATGGAATATGCTTCCTCCTTGTTCACTTTTGTTCCTTGTTGGTCCGTGACTGGCCTTTTTTGACCCCAAATGAATTTCTTGGGAAGATTCATGAGAAAGATACAGCAAGTTGTTTTGATAGAAAGAAAGAAGGAAAATGTATGTTGTATCAGTCACAAGGATTGTGATCCTAAGCAGGCGAGACAAAGAAATTTGGGAGGTGATAGGAGATTGAATCAGAAAAGTTTTAAAGGCAGAGGTAGAGGATTTGGTCAAATGGTCTAACTTTTGTAGAGGTGGCAACTTCAGCATTAGTGGAACACACTGTTCTAATTGTGGATAGCAGGGTCACTGGAAAAATGAGTGCCCAAACCCACCCCCACAGATTCCTCAATACCAACCACAGCTTCCAACCTATACCCACACCCAACAGCCCCAGCCTAATACACAGATGGTTCATGTTTTTAATATTTTATCTAGTTTTGGGTATTAATCCAAGAGCATTGAATTATTTGGGATTATTAAAGTAATTATTAATTTTGAGTATCAAATCAAGGTTCAAGTTTAGGAACAGAGTTTTATTGGGAATTATCCCCATATGTATATGTTAGTGTTTTAATATTCATCCTAACAAGCATTTTTATAGAGTTCTTCTCTCATCCGTACAAAGGCATTCCAAAGGGATATTATGTAAAACTTCATAGAAGACAGATTGCATGAAATATAAGCAAATATAAGAGAAGTACATGTTACACAAGTTAAGGGTTTAACCTTAATCTCTAATTTAAGTGTTCGCCTAGGTAATTAATCAATTGATGTTGTATTGATCCTTGTGTTTGTATGATTGTAGAGACCATCCTGGAGTGTTTGTGCCGCCTGATTTCTGGGACTACACACCAATCTCTCTGGCTGACCATGCAATAGGTACACAGAGCATTGTGGTGAAAATCCAGCAAACAAAAGAAGAACTATGTGGAAGCTGACATTGTCTTGTTGTCAGCCATATTGCTACCCTTAGCCATTTTATGGAACAAAATGCCTGGTGTCTAAACTGATTTCGTTATACTCTGTGAAAGACTTATTCTATTTTTCTGAACTATGCTGAATTATTGAACTATTTTTATTTTTGTGGAGTTAGCCGGAGAGAGAGGAAGTGTTAGCTGACCCAGGGATGGATGTACTATGTGTGTCTTTGATATATGTTGAGTGTGCCAAGGATGGATTCCCATGTTTTGAGGAACTGCATGAGGATATGACTGGTTTTGACTGGACCTTTGGAATAGGGAAATGGTTAAAAGATATAGGACGCAAGGTCCTGGTTGTGATTATTGTCAGAATTTCAAGCTAGATTATAATTTATCTCATGAATTAATATGTAAGACGTGTTTCCCAATTCCTCCCGATACTCGAGCTATGTATTCACAGGTGCGGGTATTATAAGTCACAAGTGGTGTCAACTGTGAAGGGATGACATGTCTAACACGATCGCGGCCCCCACTCAGGTTTTCCCCAGATGTGCTTTTTCCTCAAATATGAGTTTTTGCCACTGGGTTTTTGCTTGGCCCCAGATCACCGGGTGGACTGGTAATCCTAGACCGTGGACGAAGGAGGAAACAACTGTTGGGAATAATACACTTTGCTCATATTTACCCAGGGCTTATGATACAGATGACCAGCTGGTTAGTCTGTTTAAAATTGGTTAACATGTCAGCTATTTGCAATAATATATTTGCTATAAGCCCAAGTTCCATTTTGTCTTAAACATCCATTTTCTATATATCTGTTTCTTGTAGACCACATGATTGTTTAGGAATGCCATAATGTGGAAGTTTCTCTGTCCTGGGAGAATGTTAACCGATAATATGAGCAAGTTTTTGCTCAAAAAGGGGAATGAAAGGATATGAAGTAGTTAGCTTTTCTTGTTCATATGTATTTTATGCTTAGATAAGGTTTATAATCATTAGTGCTGACTGTAAGGAAAAGAAATAGTTAAACTCTTTTTGCTTTATATGCTTTAAAATAATGTTTGAAATAATTATGCTGACTTTGGCAGATGTATTTTGTACCAAGGTCTTCCTTTTGGAGGATGTGCGACCTTGCTAGATCTCAGGATGTTCCTGTTCTGTCTTTATTCAAATGCTTATCTTCTACTGCTACAGAAGTATATACTATTAACTGTAAGGAAGCGATAAAACTCGCTGCTTGCGTGACAAACTGTGTATAAATGCTAGCCCTGAAAATATACTGATTGAGACATTTTGTTAAGCACATGTCTTGTGTCTGTGTCTTTTTTTTTTTAGACTTTTATTGATAAATTCTTGAGGTTACGTTACGGAGTATGAAAAGTACAGTGGTAAAGTACATTAAAAAAAAACATTGTATATCACAAGCAATCTGTACCAGCACTGACTTCATGTTCACGTCTTACTATACAGTATGAGTGCTGTATTTAGCATCATGTTATCAGCAAGTGAGCCGAATTCTATAACCGGGGACTGGTAGAGCCCAACTTTTTAGCCAGGTCTGTGGCTTGCGAACCGCTGTGTCTGGGGTGGGGCGGTCAATAACCACTGGGTGGTCTTGGATAAGGTCTTGAACAATTTGAGTTCTCATGAGGTTGTGGTATTGCCTATGTATCTTGACCAAGGTTCCCATGTGGAAGCATATTGGGCGTATTTATCATTCAAAGAGGCTGTCAGTTCCTCCATTATTCGAATAGATTCTACTTTCTGAAGCCATTCCCTCATCGACGGGGCCTTCCATTGCACCTGGATGAGGAGGTTGGCCGCCGTGAGCAGATGGGTCGTTAAGACCCTCTGTGGTTTGGCGATGGGGTCTGAGAGTAATATGAAGAGCATTGTCTCCGGCTTGAGTGGTATGTTCCCCCCTGTGACGGTGTTGATTATGGCCCTCACTCTCTTCCAATAGGGTTGCATGGTCGGGCATTGCCATCAAATGTGAGCTGTTGTCCCTCCTATTTGCCCACATCTCCAGCATGTATCTAGTGTGGGAAGATATGTTGTAATTTAGTGGGCGAAAAGTGCCACCTCGAGATTTTCTTATATGTGCTTTCTTGGATAGCGGTGCTGACGGAGGATCTCTGTATGCCCTGGAAAATGGTACCCCATTCCCCTTGGGTGATGTTAGTGGAGAGTTCCCTATTCCATGCTTGGGTGTATTGTGGCATTTGTCCCTTAAGCTCTCCTTGGAGCATCTTTTAGAATATTGATAGATGTTTGTTTTTGAGGGATTGGGATGTACAGTATATTTTGTATGTTGTGAACGTCCAGGAGCCAGCTAGTAGTGATCGCGTGGATCATATGTAGTGGGTCAATTGCGCATATCTGAAAGTCTGCAGTGTCGTGGGTTGTTCTAGTCCCATTAGGGATTAGAGCGGTTTGACTGAGCCGCCCTCTAAGACTGAATACAGTCTCAGATAGGGCGTCCTCTGGGGTAGTTTTAAGAAGTCAAAGGAGTGGTTCGGTAGCCCGGGCTGGAACATTGGGTTTCCTGTCAGGGGATAGAGGGGGGATGGATGGGGGGATATTGAGGTCCCCTGTCTCATGAGCTTCCAGACTTGGAGTGTGGGTGTAATGGTGGGGTGACTGGATTGGTGTGAAGATAGGAATGTAGATCCAGAGTTATGCCACGGAATCCCGTGAAGCGGGGTTGTGAAAAAGGATTTCTCCAGTTGCACCCATTGTAGCTGCGGGCACGGGTTGGCCCATTCATATATCCTAGTGAGCATGGTCGCTTTGTGGTAGAGCCCTATGTGTGGCATCCCCAGGCCGCCTTGGCCTTTGGGTTTTGTGAGTGTAGCGAAAGCTATCCTGGGATGTTTGTTTGCCCATATAAATTTGGTGAAGAGGTGCTTGATTTTAAGGAAAAATGATTTGGGGATGTGGACTGGAAGTGTTTGCAAAAGGTACAACAGTCTTGGGAGCGTATTCATTTTGAGAATGTTGATGCAGCACAGCCATCCAAATTGGGGCTTGTGCCATTTGGCCAGATCTGTTTCTATCTGTTGGAGGAGTGGGAGAAAATTGATAGTATAGGTGATTGCGAGATTATGCGGTAAGTGTACACCCAAGTATTTGATATTCGCTTCAGCCCACGAGAAGGGGAATTTCTCCTTCAGTGTGGTTTGCAGTTGTTGGGTGATTTCCAAGGGCAGGATGTCGCTCTTGGCGAAGTTAACTTGAAAATTGGATATCTTGTTATATGTGGTTATCTCCCCTAAGAGTGGCTGCATGGATGTGCTGGGGGTGGTTAGCGTAAAGAGTAGATCATCAGCGAACGCTGAGATCTTGTATTCCTGGTGTCCCACCCGAAAGCCTGTGAGGTCTTCGTTGTCCCTAATCCCCTGAAGGAATAGCTACATTGTAAGGATGAAGAGAAGAGGGGATAGGGGGTCCACATTGATCAGTGATATTGGGCGATAACTGCCACAATTGGTGGGGTCTTTTCCTGGCTTTGGCAATAAAGTAATATGGGCCTCTAGAGCAGGTGTCGGTAAGGCTGGGGTGTCTGTGAGGAAGTTAAAAGCGTCCAGAAAAGGGTCTGCTAGTATGTCTTTGAATGTTTTAAAGTATTTGGCCGCGGGGGGCGGAGCCTGGGACTGATCCCGACTAGACGCACATTCTATCAGCTCCCGCCTGTAACCAACTTCTACCTACAAAAACCCGAAACTAAACTATAAAACTACAACACCAAGGCCACTGCTTGACTTGGGGCATCGAGTGGAGCAGACTGATGCTCTTTTTCCAACCCCCGAAGACCGGGAAGGCCAAACGAAAAACCCGGGCCTACTGCCAGCCGAATCTCCACACCCTGGAGACATTCCTCGGCGGCTACCGGGGATACAACGAGCAGAGAGCGGTAGGAGAGATCACCACGACACTAGTGGACACCCCAGCAACTATGACACGCCGCTCCCAGAAGGGCCGGCAGAGCTCACCTGCAGAACACCCCGATATCGGGGAACTACTACAACGAAAAGTCCCACACAAGATGGCGATGGAGGAGGCCTCCTCTGCACTAGCGCGGCCCACACCAACGGCACAACCACAGGATGCCTCAGTAACCGAGGCACAGCCTGCACCACCAGCCCACCCACAGGCAGCACAAACGGAAGGGCCCTGAAGAGCTCAACTTCCAACCCTCCCAGAAAACCTGGGAAAAAACAGAAACAGGGGAACACATCCTAGCCACGAAACAGGACCTCCAACGCTGGATGCAGGAACTCCAGGACCTAATCGCCACAGACATAGGCACCATAAAGGCAGAGATGCGGCAAAACACGGCCAGAGTACCTACAGTTGAGGAGAATGTAGCACAGGTAACAAATGAAATGTCCCACCTCAAAAAATCCCTGCACGATATGCGGGCAACTCAACAGGCACTTGCAGTGCAGATATCCTCCCAAGGAGACCTCCTGCGGCGCAACCACATTAAACTCCGGGGGGCCCCTCACAGATGGGGGACCCCGCTAAGGTGAACTCATTCATACCACGACCCTCGGGAAGTACACACACACCTCCCTGACGAACAATTGTACCCCTCAGCTGGTCAAAAGGGATACAGCCCCATCCAACATGGAAATAGTTAAACATGGAAATAATCGTTTGCTCATTTAAAACTTTTCAATCTTTTTTATTTATTTTTTTGTGCTGTTGTTGTTTATGGTTTACACGTGCTTTCACTTGTTCATGTCGGTATGTGCCTTCAAAGCTAAGTCGGGCTCATCAGCCAACACATAGTGTCAGAGGAAACACGAACACACACATCCTCTGCTCCACCTACACCAGAACTGGGGCAGGACGGAGTGGAGGCGACAGGGAACCACACACATAGAATACAACACTATACCCCCCCCCGCTACCCACTTGGTTAGGGGCAATTACAAACTAGCAACTGAACTTCATAACACACCTCAAACTGCGACCCATTGCTACTTAGACCACTCAACTGCTACAGCTACCCCGCTCGTCACTAAAACCAAAACAACTTAGCTGGACCAGGCGATACGCCTGGCTACTTAGACAGACCACAAACACGATTAGGCTCACAGCATGGGTGCTCACATTAACAAAGGAGACCACAAATGTAAAGCTACCTGATAGGAAAAAGGAAAAATTGTGTGCAGACTTATGTGATATGTTAACATTTCTCTTTACTCCTGTATTTCATACCACCTTTGTCACTGTTATGCGAGTAATATAAACATGCACCTTAAAATAAAGAATTTAAAAAAAAAAAAAAAGTATTTGGCCGTGTAAGCATCTGGGCCCGGGCTTTTCCGCAGAGGTAGAGAGCCCACCACTTTAAAGAATTTGTCTCTTGTCAAGGGGCAGTCTAGGGTTTGCAGCGCTCCACTGGGGATTTTTTTACGCACCCTGGGAGTCAGGAAGCGTTCAATGTCCGATGCCATCAAGGGGGTAGCTCCTGAGGTTGTATAGCTCTGAATAGAACTTGTGAAAGGCTTCCATTATATCAGGAAGGGTGTGTGAGATGCCTTTGTCTGGGTGTTTAACCTTTGCTATGAATGTTGTTTGCCTACTTTGTTTTAGCGCAGAGGCTAAGAGACGTCCACACTTGCCTCCGGAGTAGAAGTAGGAGTGTTTGGTGCGTAGTAGTGTGCGTTGGACCTGTGTGTTCAATATTTGTTGTAGCTCCGTGTGCTTTGCGAGCAGCGCCTTACATGTCTGGAAACAGTCTTTATTGTGCTGGGCTGCCTCCAGATCCCGTATATTCTCTTTGAGGGATTTAATTTGGCTCTCTCTCCCTTTTTTCTGTTTGGAGGCGATAGCTATGAGATGCCCCAAAGCACACACTTATGTGCTTCCCATGTCATTGGGGGGGAGGTCTGCGGGGATGAGTTTTCTGTGAAGTACTGTTAAAGGGAAGTATGTATTTGTTTAGACACTGATTTATCATTTAGTAGCAGGTCATTTAATTTCCATTGGTAAGATTTTAGGGGTAGGGAGGGTATATGAACGGCAAGAGACAGGGGCGCATGGTCTGACCAAGTGATAGGGCCATAGGAACATGATGACACTAAATGCAATAACCGATGTTGTAAAAAGAACATGTCTAACCTGGAGTAAGTACGAGTTGCGGGGGAGTAGTAAGAGTAGTCCTTCCTATTGGGATGGCTTATTCTCCAGCATTCATATAGCTGGGAGCTGTCCAGGAGGCGGGAGAAGTGCTTGCGAGTTGTGTCATATCTATTGGGAGTGGCTGATGTGGTATGTAGAGCCGAATCTAGGGACAGGTTACAGTCACCCCCCATTATGAGTATGCCCTCTGCAAAAGTCTCTATCCATTGTAGGCATTTTTTAAGGATCTTGTATTGGCCCGTGCTGGGTAGGTACATGTTTACAAAAGTGATTTTGTTGTGTCCCATGTGTCCCTTGTGTCCCTTTACAAGCAGTAGCCTCCCTGAGTCGTCCGTTTTCTGGTCTATGAGCGTGAAAGGTACCTGGGCGGAAAGTAATATGGCCACTCCCCTGGTTTTTTTTTTCAGCGAAGTGGCCAAAGTAACCTGTGGGATATCTACTGTTCCTCAGATTGGGGGCTTTGCTATTTTTGAAGTGGGTTTCCTGGAGAAACGCAACGTCAGCTCGCAGTCACCTTTGGTAATGCTCATAATAAAATGTCACCTATCTCCGAGTCTCGTGTCCTTTGTGGGCCTTTCTCTTAAATTAGAACTCCGTCAGCTGAGAGTAGCTGTGGTGTCCTTGATGTGCGTTTTTTCTGCAGTTATGGATATTTGAATAGATTATTGCCGTCTTGTGGAAGGCGGTCTCGTGTCCCCTTGCAACATGGTGTCCGTGGCTTCTGTGTGTCTTTTCCTTGTCTCCTGCCACCAGCGGGGGCATTGGGGTGCTGGAGGCATCCCGTGTGGTGGCATCGGGCCATACCATTTGCTGATGTGTGTCATGGGGAGGTCCAAAGCCCTCTGAAATATTGGGACATCCTGTACGGTGTGGATGCTGTATTGGTTGCCGTTGATCGTGGTGCTTAAAGCAAATGGAAATCCCCACCTGTATCTGATGTTCCTCACCCTCAGCTGGTCAGTGATGGGTTTCAATAAACGTCTGGCCTGTAGTGTAAGCCAGGAAAGGTCTGGGTATATACTGATTGGATCAATGTGAAACAGCAGCGGCTGGTTAGAATTTCGTAATGCTGCCGGATATCTTCTTTGCACCTGTAGTAATGCAGCGCATATTATATCCCTTGATCTGTCTGTGGACAGGCCCCTGGGTCTTAGGGCTCTATGAGCTCTGTCAAATATTATGGTTGAGTCAGGAGCTTTGTCAAGGATTAAATCAAAGAGCTAAGTAAGAACTGCTATGATATCTTCCTTGTCATTTTCAGGGATACCTCTTACCCTCAGGTTATTCCTTCTTCCCCTGTTATCTAGATCATCTAGGGAGCGTTGTATTTCTGTTAGCTGAGTTGTGTGGGCTCTTATAGTTTCTTGGAGGGATTGTACCTGCGTGTGGGTGACATCCCTGTCATATTCTAGTGACCCAATCCTATCCCCCAGGTGGCATATGTCTGCTCCTATAGCGTCTAGTTTGCCTTGGAAGGACATTTCCAACTTACCCAGCATATTCGCCAGGTCTTGTTTGGATGGCATATTGCGGAGGAGGTCCCTGACTTGCGTGTCCCCAGGCATGCCGGACATTTCGGAGTCTGCTGGGCTGGATGGCGGAGAGTTGTGGTGAGGTGAGTCCGGCGCCATGTTCGGGCCTACCACGCCGGGCTGGAATTCCGCATTATCGCGGAAATATTTGGTGAGGTTTCACGGTTTTGCCGCAGGCTGTTTACCGGAGGTATGGGGAGTGGATGCAGCCCTTTTAGGGTGTCCCATCTTTGGTTTAGCCGCCCGATGCTCACGGATTCACACCGTCAGGAGAGGAGCTTGTTTAGCTTGCGGCCATCTCGTTCCGTGGTTGGCTCCGCCC